ACATGTATTCCACGTCTGTCCACTCTGTCACCTGTTGTGGGTTTGGGACCCTGTAACTAATAATAAACGCACATTGCCTCCGTATGCATTTGTGCGAGAGAGCAGGATTATGTCAGTGTTTTGGAGAAAAAAAATGAGAGGCCCCACAGAGTACCTTATGCAGAATTTACTGTTGTATTTAAGAAATTTTTCTGTGGATAGCAGTGACATACAACAGTGGATACTCGATGTACTGCACTTGTTCTTGCCTGCTTGTCGTCTGTGTTGAGTGGTAATACATAGAATATATTACCTCTTAGCACGTAGTGATGTTGTGTTGCCATCAGGCACATATTAAAGGGATAATGTACGAAAATTTGTCGCCAATGTTATCAGCCAGATCGAAAGATTAGATCTGAAATAGATGGACTCAACGTTTACTTCAGACAGAAACTAGAGGAAAACAGTAAACCTAATGTGTTTTTTCATAATCTACCGTATTGAGAACTACAGTGAACTCTCTTTAAGACGAATTCTTGCTTAAGACGAAGAACATGGAAGTGTTTGTTTGGTTTCCCATAGACTCAACACAAAAAAAATCTGCTTAAGATGAATTGCATAACAGGCTTCTTCTATTAAGATGAACTCTTGCAGTGACTGACAACGAAGGGGATTCTGCACAATGAACATTATTGTCCTGATGGGGGCATTCAAACAAACAAGAGAAAGCAAATAAAAATGAAACCTCCTAAATCGAAAGCAAATTGTGGCGTGGAGGGAGAAAGCGAGATAAGTTGAAAAGAAAGGTCAGCTTCTAAATAAAGCAAAGGCCGGCTTAATCAGCAAAAAAAGCAGCAAAATATGTTCGTCCTTTCGTATTCTACTTGCATTCTTAAGTTCTTCGACAGGAGAACAGTAGAGAACAGAATAACGCAAGAGCTTGGCTAGAGGGGAAGATGCAATGGAAGGGGGGACGAAAAAAAAAAATCAAATGAAAGTGAAAATGCGAACGAATTTTGTCTGTGCATTATAATCACATGAAACCGAAACCACATATGTAGCTATCAGAGGAGCTATCATATCACATCATAGGAGTCAGATGCATTGTCATTGCTGCCACACAATGGCACCTAAGCTCTTGCGGTCAGTTTGCATTGTTTGGCATAGTGCCTGTGCATGTCATATCTGCTCCCAGTGAAATGCAGCAAATTGTGATGCAAGTGCACCGTTTTCATTATGAAAGTGCGGGACAAAGGAAGGTCATTTTATACACTAAATATAAACGCTTCGTGTCATTTGTGTGCCCGAGAGATGTGATCGTGAGAAGCATAAACAGAGACCTTCAGCTGCATGTCGTTCAGGAAAAGTTACTGCGGCCTGAAGGTAAAAAAATGTCCGAACTACAAAAAAAGAAAAAAGCTTCAGACTTTCATAAGCTGCTTGGCGTATATTGGCTTTCTCAAGGTAGCGGTATGTTATGGAGGTGTATCCGAAAGTAATAGCCAAAGCCAGTAAAACAGCGTCTCAGAAGGTGAATAGCCAGAAGAATAAATTTTTCATTCTTTGAAGGAAAATTGTGCTTGTTTCTCCCTTTAAAATTTTTTTTAATCATCAGCATTGGGTCGTGCTGCAGTTTTATGGTTAAAATGTGGTAGCAGAGCATATGTTGTAACATGAGCATATTTATTATCAACTCGTGAAATCGAGTTATAATTAGGTTAGTCTAAACACTTTAATTTAAAGCATAGTTTTTATCAAGCTGAGCTAAATAAATGCTTTTTTATTGTTCCTTTTCTCACCATTTTAAGTATACTTCATTCAGTGTTTTCAAGCAACATACTTCACTGTACTTGGCATGTTAGCATTTGGTTTCTGGGGCACTTCTGAAAACACGAACTCCTGATAAGACGATCAAATGAGTGTGGTCCCTTCGAGTTCGTCTTAAAGGGAGTGTACTGTAGAGGAGGTGACATTTAGGTCCCGTGCTTCTCAAACGGCTCAGCTCTCACTGCGATTTCTAGAACCACTACGAACGGCACTGGCAGCGAACAATGATCCTGGCTGGAGTAAAGCCCCCAAGTGGTGCGGCATGCCTTTGTGGAAAGAAGAGAGTGAGACGTAAAGGAGAAACGAAAGAGGAGGGCCTATACACCCTCGTGCGCTGTGGTGAATGTGGCGTTACTACTCGCACGCAGGCAACGTGCACTGTCAATCCTCCATGAATACCACCAAGTGTTAAAAAGTATGTGAAATAAAATATTTTTACCAGAGATGTTGCGTCCTCAGTCTAATTTTGATGTTGTTGTCCATTGTTTCCAGATTTTGTTCAGGTTCCTTTGGTGAAGCTGTCAGTTTTCTTCTTACAAATTGTCAGATTTAAATCATTACTGTTGCAGTCTAAAGCTTATGAGTAGTACCTACACACAACAAAGCTGATAAGTTACGATACTTTTATGAAACAGTTTTTTATTTGGCAATATATTTGACAGAAATTCTGAGGTTCCCAAGTGCCGCATTTCAGAGGGCAATGACTTTTATACAATTAAGAGCTAAAATTACAGGGATTATAAAGTTGCGATTTTCGTATTCTTCCCAAATATGCATATATATATTTTTCAAGGCCATTCAATCATAAGACTGCAGGCAAGTTAGGCAAACCAATTTTTCGTACTACATTTATAATTATGAATACTATTTCAGTTGTGAAAAAAATCAATTGCACTTTTGCTTTTAGCAGGCTAAAGTATACTTTGCTTGAAAGTTTCATTTTTTACATGATAATGTTACAATTTTAAAATCTACATGCCAGCATCATGACCTCTGTAATGCCTAGGACGAATATGAATATGGATGTCGCCAACTGGCAACAAGAAACACACAAGATGTGTGGGTGTGGACAGCTGTGGAATTGCTCTTAAGGGTCTCTGAAACTGTTTTGATGATTTTGTAAAAACACTTTGGGCTGGTAGACCAAGTACCAAGGGTAATTTACAAACCAGTTTGAGCTCTTTGCATAAACAGTGTAATTTTTTTAATCGCTGCAGATCGTTGTGACTCGGGCAAGCACATTTTCAACTGTCCATTCACAGAGCAATCTGCTCTGCCCACTTGATGTCATCGTGGCTGATTCGCTGTGGAACACGGGGCACAGGCCCTGTGAAGGCGGAGCTACAGTGGCTAGAATAGGAAAGTGTCATGAGCGGCAAGCGGCGCCTACGGAGCGAACTGAAGCCTCCGAGGAGGAGCCGTTGGGGGGGGGGGGGGGCGCAATCGTTTATATGTTGTTTGCACGTTTCCGACAGTTTCGTCGGACACGTTTGTCCTCATTTTTTGAAATTGTGCTGGCACTATGACACCAATTTTTCTGTATGCACTCTCATGGCGCGAAAACAAAGTCATTGCTTCGTCTCGGGGTTCACTACAGGCTACAAGTCAGCTAAAAAGAAGCATGCGTTGTTCGGCGTTCCAAAGGACGAAACTCTGTTAGCGCAGTAGCGGAGAGCGATCCCGCGCGCTGACAAGCTGCTTCAAGAAAACTCGGCTGTGTGCGAGCTGCACTTCAGCGAGAGGTACATCTCCCGGCACTTCGAGCACACTGTGAATGGGCGAAACTGTCCACATTGAAAAGCGTACACCCATGGGCGTACTTGCCGTTCAGGGGAGGGGGGGTGAAGGTTCATTACAAGGTCCCTCATTTCTATTAAATCAGTGTATGAGGCAGATTTTACGCCCCCTCCCCTTCTAGATGACTAAGAGTGCCTCGCTGCCTAGTCAATGTATAGAACAGATTTAGCGGGCCCTCCCGGGTGGTCAGACCCCTTTGCCGCCCTCGTGCGGACGCCTATAGGTAGGACTTTCGAGAAGCTCTTCGAATTTGTAGACGCCATTGAAATCACTTATTCAAAGTGCTTTACCTGCAACGAGCTTCACAGTGACAGCTTGGAAGAGCTTGTTTTCTGCTTGAAAAAAAAAAAAAAAAGATGTTACACTGGGCTGCGCACAACATGGTTTGAGCCTCACCAATCAAGTAAAGTCTTTTTCTGCTCACCCCTTGCGTTTTTACACAAAGGTACTCCAGAAAAAGCGAGCATCTTCCCGTGAAAAGAGGAAGTACCCGAAGCTCAGGCGCATCAGCTAGTCTTGCAGCCCTATGTTCTGTGGGGCGCTTGTGAAATATAAAACTTTTTTTCTTGGGGATAAAAAGGGACGTGCAACAAATTATTAAGAATGCATTGTTGTAAATAGATGGTTAGTCACTTCTCGGAAATGTGTTGTATCACCTGTGCAGAAAATAAAAGGATTTTATCCAAATACCGCTCGTCGTTCTCGCCTCTGAGTATGACGTTTTGATTGATGGGGCTTTATTTACAGATTAGTGCTTGAGAAAATGATGATTCGCCGTGGAAAGTGTTGCAAGCAACGGCTCACAACTGAGTTCATTGTTCGACTCTTTTACCACTTCACACCGATAAGATGTTTCAGTGCCGTCACGCGCTCACTTTCGGCATCCTGTCGCCCTGACGATATTTCAGATCAGTCGTGCACCCACGTAGGCATCCTGTTTTCCAGAAGCTAATTAACATATTTTCTCTGTCGCCATTTGAGGCCATCCACGAGCAATAAACAAATTTTAAATGTTTCACATTGCCCGCGTGCGTGGTTGACTGCCGTCTCTGCACAGCGCAACGCCGCCTTGGGTGACGTGCAAACGTGTGCCAGTGCCATCTGGCGGTTTCCTCCCAATGTGTTACGCGCTAGCCGGCACGTTCATCACACTTCTCTATTCTAGCCACTGTAGCCCCCGAGCGCTCGAAGGATGAAATGAGGTAGTTGAGGAGGAAAGGCAGGAGCGGAGGAGGAATGCATTTGTTTATTGCTTGTAGCTCCGTTATTAAGGGGTGTTTCAATGGAATTATGGTGCCAATGATTGTTACACTAGCGGTCTAATGAAAAACGGAGTGTGAAAAAACCGTGTCATGGACCCCTTAATCAGTCAGCATGTGCTCTCTAAAATTTGACAGGGGAAGATGGGGACCTACGTTACTGCCCCAGCCAGCTGGGTCGGGCCGCTCTCGCCTCGGGCCTTTCACCTGATGATGCACTCGGCATGGTGGCTGAATTGGAGCGTGCTCGGCGCTGCCTGGCTCTTGACAGTGACTTGCACCTTGTTTATCTGGTCACACCTGGACACCTTGGTGCACAGGTGAGTGGTGGGCAGGGACAGCACACACACTAATCAATTTCAGTTGACCCGTCTACTTTTTGTGGGGTTGGAGGAGGAAGTTCTACTCCAAGCACAATGAACTTATGCCAGTACCAATGTGGTTGAGTACTACATGAAGTGAGGTCTGTGGCCTTTCGATTGTAGGAGTTGTCATCATCATCATCAGCCTGACTGTGCCATAGAAGGACTACAGAATGATTGAAAGCTGAGCCCGTTGGTGACAGTATCTGAACATATTTGAACACAGCGCACGACTACACAGACACAAGAGAAGAGGGCACAGAGCACAGCGCTGTCTCACATTTGAATCTTAATTAGAAAAAATAAATGGAAAAGGAACACTTCAACTTTCACACCCATGTGACCACACTAAGGCATAAAAACAGATCAGCTGACATTTTGAACAATGAAAAAACCTTGATATATCCCACCAGTACTCTCCAACAGCATAAAAGTTAAGATATCGTGATATCTAAGAACCTAACCTCGCTATCATGTATGGCTATAAAAGGTATGCTAATGCATTGTTAGCCCCTTTTTTGATATTATATGCTTCAATTATTTCTCGCGTGATTTGATCTCTGTGTGTCACTAAAGCTTCTACTTCATAGAACATAGGTGCGCAAGGGCACTACGCAGCATGTTGGGACACATGTGAGTGAACATTCCGTTGCAAATAACGCCTGTGTTCCAACAACCTAATGTTAATGCACCTACTTGTTTGGCCTATGTATACATAACCATTGGAAAACGGCAAAGAACACACGATACCCTTTCTGCACTGTACAAAAGGAGTTGCATGTTTGACTCCGCAGCCTTCTTTGGTTAATTCTGACACGTGCTTCTTAAGCTTCCGTTCAATCATCCCACAAACCTTATTCAACTTATAGGCGACGAAAAAACTACATTTATCCCAAACCAGCTGGCAAGATCCTTTAAATTGTGGGATAGTCTGTGTATGTACGGAAATACTGCTGAAGATTTCCTTTGCTCTGGATCTGGATGAGTAGTGCTACTGTCAGCATTTTTTTTAAGTCGCTTGGTCAGCTGGCGAACAGTTTGCTGGATGCTAGTGTCCGGAAAACTATTAGACTCATCACTTGTTCCGAGAAACTAGTGCCCATCTGATGGGAGCAAGACCTAAACGGTGCAGAACGCAAACATGAAAAGCAATACCATTTTTAATAACTCTCAAATGGCCTGTGCCCACTGCAGTGCAAAAAAGGCCCCTCCCATGATATACTAATCAACCTGGTCTTGTGCTTTCTGCTTCCACTTTATACCTGCAAACTTTTTAATCTCATTGGCCCACCTAACTTTCTGTCTCCCCCTCGCACGTTTGCCTTCTCAGGAAATGCAGTCAGTTACCCTCAATGACAAGTGGTTATCCTACGTGCCCAGCCCATGTCCATTTCTTCTTCTTCTTGATGTCAAGTGTGATATTCTGAAGCATGGACATGGGGGGGGGGGGTCTGAAGGCTCTCTTATCTATTTTTGAACCAAATGTCACAAAAGTTGGCATGCTTACTCAGCTGGTTCTGCGGATTCCAAAGATGTTATTTTTTCTGTAGCTTCAGTATTTTATTACATAATTAGGATAACAATATCTAATGTTCCTACTGCAATACAAAAATAACCACCAGTCAAAAATTTACAAATGGCATAGGGATCAACAGTAGAAAGCACAAGTCACACAACATAGGAAGCTTTTTTTTGATTGTGTCCTTATTTTTTACTTTAAAGTACACTAAACTTCGTAGCTCTAAATGTGGCCATGGTATGGTCACACAAGACTAATTTTAAAAACTTGCATCAGGAGAAATTAAAATATGCTTGCTATGTTGCTCCAAACATATAGCTTCATGCTGCTATCTGTAATAGTTTCTGATATATTGTAGGAATAGTCATGCAAGGTGTACGAAATTTACATTTTGAGGAAATCAAGAAAACAAAGATTTCTAACATTTTTAACCGTAAAAATGTATGTACTTAGAATAACATAGTCATTAACATATTGACCTGCGTATGTGGCAGTGGCGAGGACAAAGAAGCAGTGTAAGAACATTTGGCCAGAACAAGGACGAAGAAGATGTGACTGCCTTTTTATTTTTTACAGCTAGCATTCACTTGTAGCATTTTCATCGCCAGGGGTGCGGTCAATGTCGTCGATGGATGTGCTGAAGTATTGTTGACCAATTTAAGCAAAGAACGCCGATACATTGTTGGGGGCACTGCCATTGCCTATTTTGAAGAACTTGCACAAATAGAAGATTGCCATCTCGTGGAGGAGGTGGCACCACCTGCTTTCCCAACAATGATACCTGTGGAAGTTAGTCCGACCGCCGAGTGAGACTGCCTTATTGAGTTGATCAAGAAGTTTTGCGGTTGCTTCTCTTTCACTTCCAGAGTTGGTCAGACATTTCTCACGAAAAACTGCATCATCACAGATTCTGACGACAGACCCATCCGGCAAAGTCTTTATCGTGTTGCTCCAAAGGGGCGCGTGGCAATTCAAAAACAAGTGAAAACGATGCTTGAAGACAGCGTTATTAAGCCATCCAACAGCCCATGGGCATCACCCGTAGTGCTCGTTAGAAAAAAGGATGGCAGCTTGCGCTTTTATGTCGACTATCGGAAGCTCAACCAGATCACAAAGAAGGACGTTTATCCGCTGCCACGATTTGATGATTCCCTGGATCGGCTGCGAAACGCACGCTACTTTTCATCAATGGATCCGAAAAGTGGCTACTGGAAAATTGAAGTGGATGAGAGAGACTGTAAAAAGGTCGCCTTTGTCACGCCAGACGGACTTTACGAATTTCAGGTGCTTCCCTACGGTTTGTGTTCGGCGCCAGCCACATTTGAGCGTCTAATGGACACAGTGCTATCGGGACTTAAGTGGCAAACCTGCTTGGTGTACCGTGATGACGTGATTGTCTTTTTTGTGATGTTCGAGGAGCACCTAAAAAGCTAGAAGCAGTTTTTCATGCAATACATTTGGCCGGCCTTACACTGTAGCCCTAAAAATGTCACTTTGGCTTCCATGAACTTCAATTCTTAGGTCATGTCGTCAGCAGCCATGGTATCTGACCTGACCCAGATAAACTTCCTGCCGTGGGGAATTTTCCAACCCTGTCAGATAAACAATCAGTTCGGTTTGTTTTGGGACTACAAGGAAACTTCGATTATACGTCCCCCAGTTTCGCGACGACCAGCATTTTACGACAAATCGGTTAGGTCCCGGCAAAATCCCCATAGGAATAATGTATCGAAAACCTTAGTTATACGGCGCAGTTTTACGCCGACCCCGCATCTTACGACGGCAGTCAGATTTTGTCCAAAAGAAAAAAGAACGCCTTCACTCGAATCAAACGTGGATCAAATATTCACGGGTGCAAAATATCAAATTGCGTTCGTTGACGATTAGAAATGTAGAGAGCGAGACAGATGTCTTCTTAGAATGGAAAATTTATTCTCCTGGAAGTTTATGCGCTTCTACGCATGCCGCAATCGCAAGTGTACGTATCTGGGGTTGTTACCTAGACAAGCTCTATCCTCATGCTATAGCTCCAGCCGACTGAAAAGCTGATATTTTCATGTTTTTCGTCCATGGAAACATATTCTGGTCAACATACAGCTGATCTTCCCTTGTCGCACTCGAAGTCACAGGCTTGCGGACGCATAAGGGGGCGACGCAGTTGTTTTCACTGTACAAGATTACTTTCACTTGACGCCGACATTCATATTAACAGCAGGACGTCACTAGTGGCACTTCACAAGGCCACAAGTTACAATGTGCATAGCTCAGTAGCACACAAAGGCATTCTATGCACACTCATGGTTGGTCGCCATTATGTGATAGCAGTGACACTGTGCCTGACTCTTCTGATGGGGAGGCTATTGGCAATGCGGTTTCGGTTTCGTTTTCAGGCGCAAGCGATTTTCGAACTCTATTTATCGGTAGAAAGATGTGCATTGGACTCAATTCTTTTTAAACTTGAGAATAGAGATTAACTCGCATGTCTTTCAACCAAGTTACGCTGTCATTTCTGTCACTGGCAGAAATAATTTAATCTACCTTTCTAGCAGAGGCACAAGGTCGTGCCGTGGGCTTATTCAGGCGGTCTATACCCATTTTTTGGGGCAAGGCTGAGTGTCGTTGCTATATTCTTAATTCTCGCTTATACGATGCCCGGATCACACGACGGTTTCATGTGGTCCCCTGAAGGTCATATAATCGGGGTTCCACTGTATGTGTCTATTACCGGCGATTTATTGCCAATTTTTCACGAATCGCATGGCATTTACCCAGCTCACTAGAGAAGATATCCCCTTCTCACGGGACGAAGACCAACAACGGGGCATTTCACGAGCTTCGCCAGCACATGCAAATGCCTGCTGTCCTTGCCCACTTCGATAAAGACGTGCCGACCATATTGCACACACACGCCAGTAATGTCGGTCTCGGAGAAGTACTCGTACAGTGGCAGGATAACAGCGAAAAGGTGATCACTTATGCCAACAGGATGCTGTCCCAAACAGAAGCCAACTACACGACAGCTGTGAAAGAATGTCCCGCAATGGTATGGGCAGTCATCAAATTTTGTCCGTGTTTGTACGATAACTCATTCACAGTTATCAGCGATCACCATTCACTCTGCTGGTTAATGAATTTGAAAGATGCATCCGGCCGTCTCGCACGCTGGAGTTTTTAGCTCTAAGAGTTTGACTTCACCGTTGCCTTCAAGAGGGGTAGACGACACGCTGATGCCGACTGTCTTTCTCGGTTTCCCGTTGAATCAGCGGAGCACGACGACAACACGGTCTTTTTGGACGTTGTCGACACTGCCGCCTTTTCACGCCAGCAGCGGGACAATGTTGAACTGCTGCGACTGATTCGTTATGTCGAAAGACAAATCTATTGCATGCCGAAATTATTTTCGAGAGGGCTAGCGTCATACTGTTTGCGCAATGACGTA